AGCTTCAGTAGCGGCTTTTCTGTCACCATCGGTCATCTGGGAGCAAATCTGCCTTTCGACTTCGTGGATCCAACATTGTCCGGGGCTAAGAAGCCCGTGCTGACGTTGAAGAATTATTTGCTCAGGGTGGTCATTCTCCTCGTGCAGATAATGGTGTTGCTGGTAGAAAGAGCCTGTTTGAGGATGGCCGCAATGATCGACAAACGGATTGCCTCAAGACGAAAAACCGCCTGAGTCTCAACCAGCAGAGATAACAAGTCCGGCGGTCTGCTTCATCAATGTCGTACTTCCCTCTTCTTCTTCGATGCCCACCTCGATGGTAGTGTGCGGTCGGCTCTTGTTAAGCCCTTCCAGCAGAGAGCAAGCCTTGCAAATCTGTTGGCTGGATAGATAACCACATCTCTCGCATTGACCCATGACTTGTTTGACCACTTTCCTACGTCCTCGCCGTTTCTTGTCGTGAATACTTGGTTGCACTCCTTGCTGAGGGAGTCGAATCTCTGTTTCACGTTCTGCAGCGGCTTCGTTCGCGGTCAGGTCCTTCTCCAATCGGACCATGGAGTCGCTGGTCTGGTTTTGATTGCCACAGCCATTTGCCTGCTCATCGCCTTCAGCAGCACAAGACGTAGAACTTGCCAGTTCAGGGGGCACCAGCGAAGCCATGTCCTCTCCACTCCTAACAATATCCAGTATGCTACTGGGTCGAATCTTCTCCAAGTCTTTGATCAAGGTCCTCGCGCTCCCTCTGAAGGCCTCTGGTGAGTAAATGCACTCGGTGCTGAAGTAATCCAATTTCTTGTGGTAAGCATAGAGAACAATTTCCTTCTCATAGGCATACTTTAGTGGCTTGCTCCTTTTGATCTCACTCGCCGAGGAGGATGTCATAATAGAAGTTGCTCTTGCAAGTCGAGGAAGGTCGCCACGAAGTAGATTCATCATGACGGTTTCAGCAACATCGTCAGCGTTGTGACCGGTTACGACGTGTTTGATGCCCAACTTTGCGGCCCCTCGATCCAGGGCTTGTCTGCGAAATACCCCGCAGTAGGTGCAGTTTCCCTTCTTGCCTACCTGGGCCACGACTTGGTCCATTGTCCATCCATACAGCTGGTCATATCCAACAATTTCGAGGGGCATTTCGTACTGCATGGCATTCCGCTTGACCGTCTCAAGGCTGTCATCTCGGTAACCCTTAATACCTTCGTCGATGGACAAGAGGACGAGATCGACGCCGTAGTCGTAACGTTCATTCAGAGTCTTTAGCACCGAAGCGAGAACTGTCGAGTCCTTGCCACCAGATGCGCCGATGGCAACACGTTCGCCACGATGGAACAGTTTGTTACTCACGATGGTGTCGTGAACTTCGGCCTCGAATACGGACAGAAAACATTGTTTGCAGATCTTCTGGGAGTTCTTTGGTCGGATGACTGCTGCTCGTGAGGCCTCACAGATCTCGCATATAGTCGGCGCCATCCTTGTATTCTGGAGGAATAAAGAAGACTCAGACCTTGTTTGCCACAGAAATTGCGAGTCAAAAATATCCGGCGGAGCAAGGGGGGAACTTAGTGCAAATACGGCGGAGTATTAGTTTTGTCGGGACCTGTCGCCATAATTTGAGTGTTTTGCAACAGTCAATTCTCCCTTGCCCTCGTGGTACGCCCCTTCTCGTCACTCGCTCGAATGCATTCTACTCTCCAGGCGGAACTACGGTTCACGCGGATCATTTGCTCAAGTTGTCGAAATTGCGCCCAGCGCCAATCGCGGAGAGCAAACCGCTCGTTTTGCACTGCGCCTCGCGTTCGGACTGCTCAAAAACCGACAAACAGCTTTGGCTCTCTCAGCAGCCGCGGGATCAGTGATGACTCAAAGACCCATGGAGCTGCTCGAGTGGAGGTAGCAAGAGATTGTGACGCTGTCGAGGAGGACTCAGACCCCGCCCATCAACGTCAATCTGGCCCTCATGAGAGCCGCACCAGCCAAACTGCGGACGATGCTCGCCCGAAAGATTTCTACGGCTCACCCGCGAAAAGAAGGCTGCGGAATCGCATGAACAAAGATGGAGAGGCGGAATACCAAGCTCCGGAATGGTTTATGGACAGCAATGTGGCCCTCTTTGGGTCAGGGTCCCTCGCACCTGGCACTCCCTCGAGGATTAAAACAGTAGCCGCAGATCTGCTGACCGGCGAGCCTCTTGAACAAACTTCCTCCCCAGACTCTGGCAGTGACCCTTCACATGGCTCAGGGGGTAAAGGCAGTGACCCCAGTTCTATTCAAAACTCGCATGGGGCTCCCTCACAGACAGAGGATAGATTGGAGCAACCTGACACCACATCCCCTGCGGAATCTACGTCGAGCTCCTCGATATCTTCAAGGTACTATGTGGTGGATGAACAATATGAAGAGGTTATGCGAACTGCAAGAGGTCTCATGCAAATATCACAAACAAAGAATCCGCCAAATAGCGCCGAGTCCTACAGAGATCATCTCCATCTACAATATGCTGGCAAGGACGGCGATCTGCTTCTTGACCATCTTGTCCAGGATGTTGCACGTCAACTCGGCTGTGATCTGATGGTCGTGGACGCGCAGGATATCGCAGACCTCCTTCACCAAAATCATACAAACCCAGCCACAGCAAAGGCGGGCCGAATGCTTAGCTACGACGTGCTTGCACACGCATTTCCGGACCTCTCCGAAAATAGTGCCTCCCACGAGGCGCAAGACGTAGACGACGACGATGGAGACATCGACGACATGATGGACGACCTTGATTCCACACCTTCTTCTCCTCAGATAGGTATGCCCATGTTTATCGGAAGGCCTACCGCTATCTTGAAGACTATTATCGGACAGCTTCCAGATTTCGGGGATGGCATGCGATCAGACATGCCGCGAGGGACGCTGAGAATGTGGCCAGATTTTGCTGACTCTCAGAAGCCACGGGATGAGCAAGGCGCGCTATCTGGACTCACATACAAACTGCTAAAGAGCTTGTCGGACCGGCGATCCGCCACGGGTACTCCTGGGAGAGAACAGGGTGATGATCTGGAACGGCAACGAGAAACTACAGCGAAACGAAGTGGTGTCCCTAAGAATGGCGCGGTTGTTCACGTCAGAGACTTTAGAGCCATCCAGAGTTTAGATTTGGGTCGCTCGTTTCTGAACTGCCTTCACAGGCTACTAGCTCAGCGTCGAAGCAAAGGTGAATGCGTTTTACTTATTGGCACCGATTCGGCGCGTGAGGATCAAGAGCCGTTCACCCGGGAACGCATTCACGAATCCCAAAACGGCGGGCAAGATGGGAAATCACAAAATATCGTCCTGACCCCGGTCTTGCCCAACACGACGTCCAAGCTTGCACTTCTTCACGACAGGAAGCAACGCATTGCCACAGTCAATATGAGACACCTCTGGGAGACGTTGAGGATTTGGAAGCCGTCCGTTTTTGCTCACCTAGAGCCAGGCTTTTGGCGTGGTGACTTCTTCGACCGCATCACTCGCAGCGATAGATCATGTCTGGAAGGACAAGTATGGAATCACCAACATGTGCAACGGTTGGCCACCTATATCGCAGGAGCTGTTCCCTCGAACTCGGAGGGTGAAGCCAATACCTCTGTAAACCAAGACCAACCACAGCCCATCATTAGCGCAGCAACATCACATCTGAACCACAGTGACAAGACTAAAATCCGGTGGGCAGAGAAACAATCAAAGGAAGCGAAGAAGGAAGTTCCAGAACGACATATGACTAAGGATGACCGACTTGCCAGAATCCGTGCGTCGGCTTCCAAGTACGAGAAGCGACTGATGGGTGGTATCATCGAATCCAAGAATATCAACACAACCTTCAATGATGTCCACATGCCAGTTGAAACCATCGACACCCTTCAAACACTGACCACACTATCCCTCATTCGGCCCGAGGCTTTCAAATATGGTGTCCTGGCATCCGACAAGATCCCTGGCCTCCTGCTCTATGGTCCGCCAGGCACAGGTAAAACTTTGGCCGCCAAGGCGGTAGCCAAAGAATCCGGCGCAACCATGCTCGAAGTTAGCGCGGCAGACATCAACGATATGTACGTCGGTGAAGGGGAAAAGAATGTGAAAGCCCTGTTTAGCCTAGCTAGGAAACTATCACCTTGTGTTGTCTTTTTAGACGAGGCAGACGCTATGTTCAGCGCGAGGAGCAACCAGGGTCGACGTGTCAGTCATCGCGAACTTCTCAACCAATTTCTGAAAGAGTGGGACGGGATGAGCAACGACTCGGGTAGTGCATTCATCATGGTTGCGACTAACCGGCCTATGGATCTCGATGATGCTGTTCTCCGCCGCTTACCGCGCCGCTTACTTGTTGATCTGCCTACGGAGCCTGATAGGTTCGAGATCCTCAAGATCCACCTGCGCAACGAGAAACTTGGCGACGATGTCAATTTACAAGATCTCGCAAAAAATACACCCTTCTACTCGGGCTCCGATTTGAAGAACGTCGCTGTTGCAGCGGCATTAAATTGTGTCCGAGAGGAGAACGAACTGGCCAAACAACACAAGGGCGAGGAACCATATCAACATCCCGAACGACGTACGCTCACCAAGAAGCACTTTGACAAGGCCCTAGAAGAGATTTCGGCAAGTATCTCGGAGGACATGTCGAGCTTGAGGGACATTAAGAAGTTTGACGAACAGTTTGGAGACAAGCGCGGCAAGAAGAAGAAGGCGCCTAGGTTAGGATTTCCAACAGAGAGGGAGAATGAAAAGGTCAGAGATACAGTCAAGGTCCGCGACTGAGGCTCTTGTCGATCGAGGTAATGTCGAAAAGGCCGAAGAAGATATCTTGGGGCTTGTGTCTGGAAAACCAAAAAGGCGAGAGAGCTCAGATTCACACTTCCTCTTTATTAGACAATAGATCGTTCGATGGGTGAGGCCGCACGCTATGCCGTTGTCGCTCGCCTCTTATCTATAATGCTAAAGGTCGACATTGATCAGGAGATTTCGTCTTCCCTTTCTTACGTCTGGATTCTCTCCTGGATGACTTCCTCCACCTTCTGAACACCCCAATCCAAGACCTCCTTCATGCCCCACTCGCCCGCGCCGGGACAGACGCTCACGCCCTGGCGCGCACAGCTCTCCTCGTCAAAGACGTCCCCGTCGACGTTGCCGCCCTTGTACATCCACCCGTGGTAGCGGATGTAGTTGGGCCAGACGACATCCTCGACGTAGCCCGGCGGGTCGACCCAGAAGCCCTCGAGGGTAACGTAGCCGGAGCGCGCGGCGCGGCGGGACAGCGTCTGGGCGCGCGTCGACGGGAGGAATAGTAGCGGATGGAGCAGCATGTGGATGAGGCGGTGGAGGTGGTCGACTCCCGCCGCGGAGTGAGGATAGTCGGACGACGAGTCCGAGGGAGTCGACGACGACGGTTGTGGGTAGAGCAGGAACCCCTCGACGATGTAGACGCGGATCTCTCTGCCTGTGCTTCCGTCACCACCACCACTGGTCCTCTGACCCTCTCGTCCCCTGACTAGCTCGTCTATCCGCGTCCTAACCCTCTCTCTATGCTCGGCCACCTCGTCGGGAGACACGCCGCTGTGGCCGACGCTGTTCTGGTCTTCCTTCGACACGCTGTCCGGCGGCAGATGGCCGTGGTCGCGCAGGTGTGTGAGCGTGTGCTCGAACAACGAGAGGTCCAGGGAGTCGATGCAGTCCCAGTCCTGGAGCTCGCGGGTGCCGAATTCCTCGGACGAGACGGTGACCTTGGGAATGCTTTTTGCGTGTTGTAGGTTAGCCGAGAGCAGCAGCTGGACAGTCTTCTGCCTGGGGGGTAGAAAAGAACACCCCCCAAAAGATGGGTTGAAAACCTCAGTGAAGGGATCTGGGGAGGGAACCGGCTGATCCGGTAGACGCAGCAAATGCGTAAAAAGGGAGATACTGGGAGTAGAGAACATAGAGGGGGAAAACATACTCCTGGTCCGTCTTATAAAAGTCGTCCTGGTGCAGGATGAACAGACTGATTTTCCACCCCTCGGTGTCGAGGTTGAAGATCTCGCGCAGCAGCCTCGCCAACGTCGTCTTACCGCTCGACGACGGGCCCGAGAGGCCGATCAGGACCGTCTCGATGCGAAGATCTGGCTTGGAGTCCTCTGCTTCCCGGTCCTCCTTATCCATCTCGACATATGCCTCCTTCCGACGTCTCGAAGACGATGACACCATTGATTGCGAGACGTAGGGCGGCAGGTGTCTATCGCTGCAGCAACGGACTTCAAAAGGATATCCGTCGACTCCCGACAGAAAGGATCTCGATTATCAGGAAGGGTTTTCTCGATAAGAGTCGGCAATAGCAAAGGGTCGAATGCTAGCAGGTAAGTCTTGAGATTTATATTTTAGCTGGTGTGGTCGGTGATATCGATATTTCTCCAACTCTGACCAGCGCCACTACTCCCACCCTACACGTCCGAACTCAGCTTCAATTTTATGAGGCGAGGACCCCCTGCATACACAGTAAGGACACATACGGCAAGCACGTCTACGCATCCTGAACTATCCGAGCTGCTACTCTGCCCGCGCTCTACACCAAGCCTCGCCGGATGTATCTTATTCCAAAGGACCAGCCCTTCCGAGACTACCGCCATGCTCTCCCGGCCCAGATGTACCAAGAGGATCTGGACTTGATCGGTTAGGATATCACAGACCAAGAGGTGAAAATACTCCCAGAGACAGACATCTCAGTTTCTATTAGCAAGCAGCGGCGATACTTGATTGACAGAATCCCTTATCCTCCATATCCAACCCGACGCCCACCCGCTGTACCACTCCTTCTTGCTTGTCTCGCACCACCAGTGTGTCCAACGCGCCGATACCAAAATGTCCATCCACACATGCACCACCTTTTCTCGTCCCTTGTCGGTCGGCTTCGTTCCAGGTTCAGCCTGCCAGGGCATGTCGGCATCTCCCTCCTCTCTTGACACGCTCGTATGCCCATGTCGCGTTCGAGCATTACATATCCAGACATCAGAGGTCGGCAAGCTCCAACCAAGCTGCAAGATTCTTCCCTGTGATAAATATAGAAAGTCAAAATAATGATACAAAATCGCGTCAAAGCTGCCCAGCCGCCCATTTTCTCCGTGTGCAAGCCTCTTTGTCGCAAGCTTCCCAAAGAAAAGTCGTCGCAGCTTGTCTAGACAGCAGCATGTCTGTTCAACGGCACATTTGGAGCCCTATACCGCAATGAGGCCGAAAAATTCTTTCCGTTCCCCGACTCTCAACACCGACACCGAACCCCTTCGGAGGTAATCCACACAAGGGGGTATATGCAAATCAAGAAAAAACCCAAAAAACGAATGACACCCAGAGACTGCCCACTCAAATCACGCCATCAGCGCATGTCGACCGACGTAGATACTCCAGGCCAGATAGCTTCTACACCTTTTCACAGGTTAGCAGAACGGACTTGGTTTCTGCCGATGAGATGCTCTGTTTGAGACATGGGATGACCGTAGGGCTGGCTCAATGCTCATGCAGATCCCTTCTGCCTCTTGCCGCCGAGTTTGGGACTTGGCTTGACTTTGTTCGCTCCGTTTACCTCTCCCTGTGCATTTTCTTCTTCTATTTTAACCACGCTCGCTCGTCGCCTCTTGTTGGAAACGTTCGGGCTGGTGTTTGTACTTGGACCTTGACTCCCGCTAAGATTGGATCCCTGGGCACTCATCTGGTGCATCATGGCGACCCCTCCCGCAGTGGGATTCTGGGCAGGACTTGGTGTATGCACTGGGCCTCCCATCATGGGTGACCCTTGAGCTTGGGGAACGTTAAGATGTCCCATTGCAGGTGAGTTCATCATATTTGGTCCATTCATGCCGGGGTTCATCGGGTTTGGGAACATCACTTGGCCGTTGGCGGCCCTGGCCATTTGGTTCAGCCGCGTGTTGTTCGCTTGGGCCATGTTTTGTGCATTTTCTTGCGTTACTCGCAGTAACGTGTCTTTGGGAGAGATACCGGGATGGTGCTGGTAATACTCCATGAGAGGGCCCATGGCCGTCATCACCTCGGCAATCTAAAAATGCGTTAGTGTTTGTCTAGCCACACCGAAAGATCATACATGCCTCTAAAAATTGGGAGATGTGATGGGGTACGCCCCATTCGCCCACACCTGAGGTAGGAATCACTGGCCCTGCTCCTGATACATTTGCCTTGCCTTGTGTGCGTTTGAGGTTCTTGTTCGTGATCTTGGGACTCTGCTTCATTTCTGGCGACACGGGCTGCATCAACACATTGCGTGGAATGTACTCCTGCCATCCCGTCGAGCTGATGTTCAGGTGCTCAATGGTTTGAACGTCATCAAACAGAACGCGCAGCTGTCCGTTGGTGGTCACTCGAATATCGTTGCCAAAGACATATGTCAAACTCGCACTGCTGCTCGTGATATGGACGCCACCGTTGGCTGTCTTGGTTTGCGTATGTTCAAAAGACTGGAGCAGGATTTGCTTGACTCCGCTTGCAAAATAAGAATGGTAGTAACGCGCGAGAGAGGGAAATTGGAGCTGGAAAGACTTGTCCCCGCCGGACCTGTTGTTGAAAAACTGTTGTCTCAATGATCCGATCGGCGAAAAGAATCTAGAGATCAATGCCTCCCAGTAGTCCAAGTCATTTGGTCGTTCCGGGTGGGCGAGAAGATCCTGGTACTCGATCAATTTCAAAATGCATTGGCCTCCGATCATGTCTTGTTTGGGTAATTCGGACAGAATCATATTCGCGGCGGCTTCTTGTTGCTGCTTAATACGAGGCTCCTCTTCGGGCTCCGTCGTCTTGACTGGCTGGTTGGCTGGTTGATTTTGTGGTTGGTTGTTTACGGGTTGTGGTTGTGGTGGTTGGGGCTTTGGCTGAGCGGGTTGAGCTTGGGGTTGAGAAGTCGGAGGAGGTTGCTGAGGAGGTTGTGTTTGGGGAGCGGGTGTGGGTTGTGATTGTGGAGGTTGAGTAGTTTGCTCTTGCGATCGTGACATTTGCATTTGTTGAGCTACTGCCCTTTGATTCTGCGCTGCGGCTGCCATCTGCGCTGCATGCTGTTGCGCCTGAGCCTGGGCCTGTTGAGCTCGGATTAACTGCTGCTGGTTGTGTTGGTGTTGTTGTAGGCTTTGCATCTGAGGATGGTTGGGATTCATCTGCATTTGCGGATGCATGCCCATACCCATCTTCATTTGCGCCAGCTGAGCCTGATTGAAGCCGGGCGCATTAGGTATCCCCATAGGCATGCCTTGTGCTTGAGCCTGAGACATCTGCTGCATCATGCGCTGGCGAGCCATGAACTGCTGTTGCTGTGGGGTCATCATCCCTTGGCCATAATTCATCTGCGGGTTATGCTGCTGAAAGATAGCCTGCTGGGGATTCATATGAGCCATGGCCATACCGTTATGCATTGGTCCTGGAGCTGGAGTTCCAGCACCAGGTGGCATACCAGTAACCATGGGTCCTTGAGTGACTTGGGGCGCAGATACTCCTGGATGCATGCCCTGCATCATTCCGGGCCCAGGTTGACCTCCCATATGAGCGGCGCCAGGATGCTGCATCCCCATGGGATGACCTGGAGGAATTCCTGGATGCCCCGGAGCAATACCCGCATGGTGCGGGAAGCTTTGGGCCATCATCTTCAAGAGTGCTTATGTAGGAATATATCGAGTCGCAATTCCGGCGTGACGGTATACGAAGTAGTTCTGATTACTTCTGTTGGGTGTCTGGTCCTTCTCTTTTTTCCCACCTCCAGTCCCTCTGGCCCCACTTTTTTGGCGGAAAGACGCTGTAGTTGTTCGGCACGGAGCGAAATGTTGTCACATTTGTATGATCGGGAGGTTTCATGCAAGCGGATAGATATTATGGGACGAAGTATTCTCCTGCTGGTGGTCGGCGCAACGTGGATATATTGCAAGAGATCCTGCGATGTTTCGCCGTGTGAAGGTCGTCTTACGGGGCTAGATCAGTGTCGCGACAACGACGATAATCGAATCATCGGGCGGTGGCGGCAGTGATGGAAGCGCGCAGAGGCTTCATGACCATTTCATCCTCTCGTGGATCGCAGAGGAGCAGCTAGAGCGATTAACCTGGCGAGGCAGATGATCCGAGTGCTGTGAGAGTGGCCGTTGCGATGTTATCGGGTTGGTACACTGCGGTGTTACTCGTGATCTGATGACCCCGGCCCAGTGTGGACGAGAACCGGTCGGAAATTGGGAGCCAGGCTCCAAAAGCAGAGTAAAGGGCGATGAGGAAGGGAAAAGAGCGACAAGACAGCGAGAGCGCCAGTTGAGACTGAATAGCAGACACTGTCCCAGCCTGGGTGGTGAAGACTGAAGATCAGGTTCCAAGTCGCAGGTGCAACAGGATCTGCAGGTGTGCAGGTGCAGGGAGAGACACTTACAGACCACGGAAGATGCTGGGGGGGTGGGTGGTGTGGCCATCGGGGCCCAACTTGAAACCCAGCGACTTGCCAGGCCCGGCCGACATCCCCCAATCATCCGCCAAGCAATCGTGCAGCCCACGCTTGACCCGATACAGCACTAGCGGCTCGCCGTTTCAGAAAATAAATTCGGCACCTCTTTTCCCTCTGTACTTGTATTCTTCACCTGTGTTCTTCTGCATTTTGTCTCTACTCCCACAAAGCAAATTCCTGGATTCTGTTTCATGCCCTAATGAGTGCAGGCTCGGTACTACATCCTGTAAATTGAAGGCATGGTAAGCACACTCTCCACGAATTCTCCTGCCTCTTAAAAACGCGGCTTGTAAGATGACAACCAAACCTCTTCTTCTTTCTATCCTGAGTCGCCCTTGAAGAAACATTCGGACTGTCATCGCTGAACAGTCTGTTACTAGCCAGTATTTTATGTCTGACTATCACACGCTTCCACAACATCTGCTGTGTTCCTTTCTCTGTGTGGTCTGATGCTGACTCGAAGTCTAGGAATGCGATGGAGAAGTAGAGTTTCTCTAAGGCATGTGTTGCTGTAAGATTCTTTGAGGTACGTTTTTGCAGATGCTCTACCCCGTCTCACATCACCTTGTGTCTACTTTCCCTTGATTCCTATGATGAAAACCTTTTCCACATTCGCAGTTTCCACGCTAGCCCTGGCATATGAACCTATTTTAAGTCCAGGTGTCGTTGAGCGGCAAATCTTCCTTGGATG